ATCCGAATCCAAAAAAAATTGATATTCTATTTATGGGAACGGATTGGATCAGATCTTAAATCGAAGCTTCAGTTTCGTATATTTGGCCTAATCATAATATCAACATACCTCAATGTTTTTATTTTAGTATATACTCAAAACTGTTTCACTATACTTAGGAATTTAAAATGATTTTTCTTTGTTTCATTTTGTTAACTTTTTTTGTAAAATTTAGATGAATTTGATATCTTGTGATTATATTTTGCACAATTTTCATGAATGCTTAAATTTTTTAAATTAAAATATTAAAAAATCTATAAATTTTTAGCCTTCTTCAATGGCCTAAAAGACACTACGATTGCACTCAGGCCCATATACGTGAAAAAAACATAGACATTCCCATTAATATAAAGGCCCATTATTTAGCTACAACCCTAGAATCAGAAATACAAGATTGGTATAAATTGGCTCTTAAAAGTTGAGCATCTTCTTCTCTGAAGCCGTATCCTAGGGTTTTCTTGCACGCAATTCGCTCCAATGGTGATCTCTCTGATCTCTCTCTCTATAGTTTCTCGTCAATTTACACCTAGAAACTATCTCTGATCTTGTTGTGGAACTTTTGAGTATTGCAGGGAAAGGGAACAGGAAGTTTCGGTAAGAGGAGGAACAAGAGTCACACACTCTGTGTGAGATGTGGTCGTCGTAGTTTCCACATCCAGAAGAGTCGTTGCTCTGCTTGTGCTTACCCAGCTGCTCGCAAGAGGACTTGTAAGAACTCTTCATTTCTTAAAACTTTCTCTCAAGATGCGTTTCATTTTCTCGATCTAGATTAGCTTAGTCTTCTCATTATACTCGTTCTCCATTTTGGTTAGTGTTTCGTTTGGCACATTTGAGTATGCTTTACATTTGAATAGATTACTTAACGAATGGAGCAATTTCTATAATCGTTATGAAATAGAGCAAGGCTTTTCTATGTAGCTCGATTAGTTGTTATTATAGCTTGAAATGTTTAAACCTTGACAGTTTTTGTTATGTCTTTGGTTCAATTGATTTGTTGGGTAATAATCATTGGAATTTGAGGCTCAACTCTGATTATGAAGTAGTGTGATTGTTTCTTTGGTTTATAGACAACTGGAGTGTGAAGGCCATCAGGAGGAAGACTACCGGTACCGGAAGGATGAGGTATCTCCGTAATGTTCCCCGTCGGTTCAAGACTGGTTTCAGAGAAGGTACTCTTATCTTACCTTGACTTTGATTAACTCGTTTTCTTCTTTTCTCTCTTGGAGTCGAAATTGGGTTTTGATGGCACATTTCTATCTTTACATAGGTACTGAAGCCAAGCCAAGAAACAAGGCAGCAGCTTCATCAGCTTAAAGAGCCAGTTCGAGCAATCTCTCAGGAAGGACTAAGACTTAGCACTTTTCGCACTTATCTAGTTGAAGATTACTTTTCATGTGGATCTAATACATTAAATGTTTTGTTTCTTTTTCGTCAGTCACTTATAAAGTTTTGAACTTGGCTTAAATATCATCTTACATTTGCATCTTCAACAAGCTTTGATTGATTGATTGATTCTTACATCTTGAAGCTCATGAAAACCAATCATAATTCATTCAATAACCTAATAATTGATTTCAATCGACCACTGAAACTTTTGTCCCTGATAGTGTAATAAATAATGGTTGACAAGGGTATAATTGGAATTTCGAAAATAAGCGGAGAACTAAAAATTTGGTCTTAATCGGAAACACCGCTTCCTCCTCCGCTTCTTCGCGTTTCCGTCGTCACTGTCTCTCTCTCGCGACGCAGATTACGATTCGTCGATATTTAAGCTAATCCTCTCTCTTAATCTCTCAGAGACCATCTTCTCCCCAATTTCGCCGCTGGTTAATACTTTCTCTTCCCGTAAGTCTCCAAAAATCGAGTTTTTTTTTACAATTCTCGTGTTTCTTCTCAATTAGTGATTGGATCAATTGGATTTCCTTCTTCCGATTTGGTTTCGTCAATTGATCCGCTCTTACTTTCTAAAGGTCATAACTTTTCACAGATCTATCTTTTGAAATTGTGAAGACGAAGAAGAAGACGATGATTCGACTAAGAACATACGCAGGCCTTAGTTTTATAGCAACTTTGGCTGTAATCTATCATGCATTCAGCAGCAGAGGCCAATTTTACCCTGCGACTGTTTATTTATCAACCTCAAAGATCAGTTTGGTGCTGCTTCTCAATATGTGTTTGGTTCTTATGCTTAGTCTCTGGCATTTGGTCAAATTTGTCTTCTTGGGGTCTCTTAGGGAAGCAGAAGTCGAGAGGTTGAATGAACAAGCTTGGAGAGAACTCATGGAGATTCTCTTTGCCATTACTATCTTTAGACAGGATTTCTCTAGTGGGTTTCTTCCTTTGGTTGTTACTCTTCTGTTGATCAAGGCTTTGCATTGGCTTGCTCAGAAAAGAGTTGAATACATTGAGACTACTCCTTCTGTGTCTAAGCTTTCTCATTTTCGTATTGTCTCTTTTATGGGTTTCCTTCTTCTTGTGGATAGTTTGTTTATGTACAGTTCTATACGTCACTTGATTCAGTCGCGCCAGGCTTCGGTTTCTCTCTTCTTCTCATTCGAGTAAGTTGCTTTTGCTGCTTTCATTGTATATCATTGTAATGTATGTGATCCATCTCTGATCTTTAGGAGGACTGAAGACAGTCATTCTGGTGATATTATGTCGCTGATGATAGGTTTCTGTTGCAGGTATATGATACTGGCGACGACGACTGTTGCTATCTTTGTGAAGTACGTTTTCTATGTCACTGATATGTTAATGGATGGTCAATGGGAGAAGAAACCAGTTTATACTTTCTATCTGGAGCTTATCCGTGACCTGCTTCACTTGTCCATGTATATCTGCTTCTTCTTTGTCATATTCATGTAAGTTTTTCCATCCAGTTTTTTGGTTCTCCAATCAGATTATTTCAGGAATATATAACGCAGAATGAAATATCTGGAAATCAAAGATGATGCTTAACCTTGGTAGAACAAGCTCTTAACTCTATGTTGGATTCATTAATATTTTTATTGTCTGTTTAGGAACTATGGTGTGCCTTTACACTTGTTACGGGAGCTCTACGAGACCTTCAGGAACTTCCAAATTCGTGTTTCCGATTACCTTCGTTATCGTAAGATCACGTCCAATATGAACGATAGGTTTCCTGATGCAACTCCCGAAGAACTTACCGCGTAAGTTTCAGATATCCCATTTATTTTGTTGTGACTCCACTGAAAGTAGACACAATTCTAAGTTTGGTCTTATGGATCTTGGATAGCTCTTGGGGAATCTTATGTTATTGAAAGCATTTCTTTCTTATATGCAGAAGTGATGCCACATGTATCATATGCCGTGAAGAGATGACAAATGCGAAGAAACTAATATGCGGGCATCTCTTTCATGTGCATTGTCTTCGATCATGGTTGGAGCGACAGCAGACGTGTCCTACTTGTAGAGCACTTGTTGTACCTCCTGAGAATGCCACATCTGCAGCTGCAGGCCAACGTGGATTACACCAAGGTTCCCAACAGGGTAAATCATATTGCTTCGCATGCAAATATGCAGTAAAATCGAAATCTATTTTATGTATTATATGCTAAATAATTGTTTGGTTTTTAGACTCTTAAATTCTTAATATTGAGACAGGAAAGACTAATAATTAGTTTTGTGCAAATTGAATCAGGTACATCAAGCTCAAATAACCAGGGCTCTGAAGCAAGTTCTGCTGCTGGCGTTTCCAATGATAATTTGAGCAGGCACCACGCCAGGCTTCAAGCAGCTGCTTCTGCAGCCTCCATGTATGGGAAATCAATGGTTTACCCATCTGCAAACACAGTAGCATGGTATGTATTCATTTGTTGACTCTATACTTGGTCTCGCGTTTTAGAACTTGTAAGGTGATATATAGGTTTCATAGGATTCTCACCGCATGGTCTAAATAGGAAACTATTGAACTACTGTTCTTAAGAAGCTTTAAGATTTTAAAAGATCAAAGGATACATGTACATCTACAGTTATAGTTTCAACTTTTCTAGTATCAATTTCCATATCATTTCCTCTTCAGTCCCTCGAGATGTTCCACAATGTGACAAACATGTGATCTCTATATTTATTCAGCGATATTTTCTGAACTCCCTTCAATGTGGTAGAGGGAAAAACTGACAAATATGTTTGTCCCTTGTGTTAAGGTCGCCGAGTATTCCTGGGACAGAGCAAGTGTCAACTGAACCACATCAAACTCGTCCTTCATCCTTTTCCTCGTCTCAGCTTCCTCAAGACAACCTTCCAGGTGAAAACCCTCAAGCCTATGCAAATATGTCGGAGACTAAGCTGGAAGAAATGAGAAAATCTCTCGAGGCCCACTTGGAGGTATGTGGTCCCTGAGTAATTCATCTTATGTGAAACTCGAGAATAGCTTATAGTAGATGATGTTTAATCCTATTAGCAACGTTCTGGTATAGATTTTGCGAAACCGGCTTCATTATCTGGAGAAGAGGAAACCAGAGTCCACAGGAGAAGCAGATAACAAAGGAAAGTCGGTTGCGGATGCAGCAGGGGAGTGAAAAAACAAAAGTCTGGTATGTTGACTGAGGCAGAGCAGATAGAGAGAAAGGAGAAAGATTGGTGGTTCTTCTCATAGAGACAAAAAAAAAAAAAAAAATCTCCCAAAAGTGTACATGTTTTATGATAGAAATTTACTAGAAGAAGCTTGAGACTGAATCATAAACCGTGTTTTATTAATTCTTGGGTTTTCATTACTCTCTAGTATGACTGTTGAATGTTCCAATTTCTTCTATACAGTATATGATTAAAAAAATGTTATCTAACGATACTATCGAATTAAATTAGCGGGTGGGGAGGCGAGGGGTAGTTTAGGAAAATGAGATTAAAGCTGTTATTGGGTGGCTCCGTAACTTTCCATACACACATTGGTGAATCGCCTCAAAAACAAAAACAGAGACAAATTATTTGTTATTTACACACATTGGTGAATCGCCTCAAAAACAAAAACATCAATGGCTTCTCGCCGGCGAGTGCTTCTCAAGGTTATTATTCTCGGAGACAGTGGGTAATTTATTTTCTTCTTTTTTTTGAATATCTCTGAATATTCATTCATTCTCTCTGGATTTTTGGTGTTTGAATTCGACATTTTGGTTATTTGTCGTCTTGCTCAGGGTTGGGAAGACCTCCTTGATGAATCAGTATGTATTCTCTTTCTCAGATTTTTCTTCTTATGATTCATTCGGTTTTTGATTTATCTCCTCTTGTTAGGTTTGTGAATCGAAAATTTAGTAATCAGTATAAAGCTACCATTGGTGCTGATTTCTTGACCAAAGAGGTCCAAATTGATGACCGAATCTTCACTTTGCAGGTAAAATCTGATTTATTGCTCTTAGTGTAGTTTAGTTTTTAGGTTTTCATTACAAGTTTTAGCTTATGGATTGTCTTTTATGTGTATTAGAAAAGAGTTATCCAGGTAATGTTCAGTTCAATAACTCTTGTTCTTCTCAAAAGAAGAAGATAATTGTTTCAGTGTCCAATATAACAACAAATACGATTGATGTAAGCTTTCAATTTTCCCATGTAGATTTGGGATACTGCTGGGCAAGAGAGGTTTCAAAGTTTGGGGGTTGCTTTCTACCGAGGAGCCGATTGTTGTGTTCTTGTGAATGATGTCAATGTCATGAAATCCTTTGAAAATCTTAACAACTGGAGGGAAGAGTTCTTGATCCAGGTTCTAACCATGCCCCCACATACTTTTGAGTATTTTCTATCAAATCAGTGATTGATTATTGAGTGTTTAGGCTAGTCCTTCAGATCCTGAAAACTTCCCGTTTGTTGTATTGGGGAACAAGACAGATGTTGACGGTGGAAAGAGTCGAGTGGTAACATCTTTATTCGTTTTCTCTCAAGTTAGTAAGAATGTTAAGAGTTTTACAAATTAATGCTAAGGTACCTCATCTTCAGGTTTCTGAGAAGAAAGCAAAGGCTTGGTGTGCATCCAAGGGAAACATTCCTTACTTCGAGACTTCGGCCAAAGAAGGATTCAATGTTGATGCAACTTTCGAGTGCATAGCCAAAAATGCCCTCAAGAATGAGCCTGAAGAACAAGTGTAAGTCCTACACTATAGCTAAACACCTATATCAGCTCAACTCTGAGCTTGCATTGCCATCACATTGAGTTAATCTTTGAACTTTTCTCGGTTTATTCATTTTAATGCCTCGCAGGTACCTTCCGGACACCATTGATGTAGCTGGCGCTCGGCAACAAAGATCAACTGGATGTGAATGCTAACCAACTTTGTTGCAAGGATTATTAGAAAGAGCATGTTTTAAAAGAGACCTTTTTAATTAGTTTCTTTGACATTATCGTGATGTGTATCAATTAGCATAAGCACCTTTGTTTCTTTCTGCAATTGTATTTCCATCTCATCGATTCCATAATTAAAAACAAATTTTTGGTCACTTGTTTCATTCTTAATCTCTTCAGCTTCTCGTATATCTTCATTTTCAATGTTAAAGAGTAATGAGAGAAAACAACAAACCAAATCTTAAAGATAAAAACAAAATTTCTCAACTTTGCTATATATATTTCTTACGGCAATATAACTATAAAGTAAGATAGTGTTTTCTATCTTTCCTCTTCTATGTCTTTCTGTGTCCTTTCCTCAAAAGCTCCATTACAATTTTCAACAAACAACTATAAATTTGATCCCTACGTCAGATTCCAGATGCTTCTATAACTCATCTTTAGCAGACGGATCCTTCGATTTCAACTCTTTGTTGATTAAAACAGCCATTTCCTTTGCACTGGATTTCGTCGAAAGCTTTAACTGTGCAACACAAGAGTGTAAGAAAGAAGCTTCGTGGTAGATATAAAAAGAACTGAAGATATAAAAGAAGAACCCTCTCAAAATAGTAATTACCGGATTCTCCTTTTCACCGGCTTTGTAAAGCAAGATTGTCGGATAATCATCAACCTGAATCAACCATCACAGAAACCATCATGATCATGGAAATATCCAAATATAATCACATGATAGGAATCATCTCTTTGCAGTTTGAGATTGTTTTTTACCGTTAGCTTAGGATGCTCATTTGCAGAAGCGTCTATCCTTGCAAAGACAAGATTCTCAAACCCTTGAAAGTGTTTCGACAACTTTTCAACCTGTTTACTCAGAGCCTCACAGTTAATACACCATGGTGTGTGCACCTGTTTCAACGATCATACTCAATGTTACATCCATTTTTATTAGTTCCTTTGCTAAGAGTTTTTGGTTCAGAAGAAGGGTTTCCATTCACAGACCTCAAGAAGAACATTCTCGCTGCTCTTCAAGACCACTTCATCAAAAGTCCTGCCGACCACAGCCACTACGCTTGCATTTTGCTGCAGATTTGAAGAACCCTAAGCAAGATTATTACTACCCAAAATGACATTTAGACGAGAATATATTATCCTACTCACATTATCTGGAATTGGCTGTGACTTATAGTAAGGTGAAACAGTTCCATGCGCAAGTCCGAAACAAAATTCCTACATTCAAAAATTCAATATAGATGACATCAATGAGTTTTCCAAATGTCTATGAAGGAAATAAAAGTTCTGAGAAAGTTTGTACTTCTATATTGCTAGGAGATGGATCCGACTCAAGCAAAAACTTGGAGTTCAGGTTGTTGTCGAACGCAGCAACCTGTTAAAGAACTTAATATTAATCCCCTGTGACTTGTAGCTTTACCAGTAAATCAAGAAATGCATAGCCAGCAAGTATAAGCACTTATTCAGAAAACTTACAACAGTTTTCTTTGCATCTTCTATCCCGAATAATGTCAAGAATGGCATTGCGAGGTTTTCATTTGATATGTCAATATATATCAGCATAAGCTGCACGGTAGTAGCATAAACATAAATACAAGAGATGGTGGGTTTACTAAATCCATTTGGCTTTTAATAAGAGATTTGGTATTGGAAAATACCTTTGATATGAACTTTCTTGCAATATCTTCTAGAGGCTGAGCAAGACTTCCAAAGTCATCACTCTTTGAAAAGACCATAACCTAACCAAGAATATGATACCACAACTGTGTAAGCCAACATAACATAGCAATTTACAACCAACAGAGATAGAATGAAAACTGGCATCGGATACTAGTTGAATATAGTAAAACATCTCACCTGAAGCTTGACTGGACTGGCATAAACACGAACGGTGTTGGATTCAGTCAATTTTGTAACCAATGGGAATTTATTACTGTTCAGAAATTCCAATATCTTTTCGGCTTGGAGAGATCCATCTGCATGGCCAGTACATAAGATTCATAATTTGAACAGTAGCATACAACACAATAGAGTAACCTTTGCATACCCCAATACTCCAAAACAAAATTGACAAAAAGAAGCACTTTTTCAAACTTATAACCGATTCTCAGGCTGTAAATAAGGGGGGAAAAATGATAATAATAACAGAAACTTATTACCATCAAGGAGCTTACCGTATGCAGTGTACTTTTCAGCCTCAGTTTTAACCAAGCCAACAAACACATTGTTGGTTTTAAGGTTAGGGAAGAGAAGCTTAGCAACATCACTGCTGCTTGTTTCTACAAACTGGATTTCATTGTCTAACGACGCAGCTTTTACAAATTCATCATATCCAGAAGAAGCCTGAGCAAACACCGTATCCAAAAACACATTACATAAAACCACTCTTAGTCTAAACAAATGAATCCATCCAAGGATCACTATATAAATACCTCAGACTTTTCGAATAGACCAACAATATAAGTATGATGCTTCTTCAGAAATCCTGAAGCTTTATCAACTGTATCAAGTTTAATAGTAGGCACACCAGTCTTCTTTTGTACCCAAATCACTATCTCCTCTCTGAACACAACACAAGACCAAGATTTCAAAAACTTTGTGAACTTCAAACACAACAAACCAAAATCAAAATCAAGACTTTGCATTTCCAAAAAGATACTTTAATAGGTATTGAAGCAACTTACGAGGAAAATCCACCAGTGTAAGACTGAGATGTGCCATTAACAAACAGAAGAAGCGTTGGGAAACCTTTAATCCCAAGCTGCGACGCCACTTTCGAATACCTCTCGCCGTCAATCTTAGCCATCAAAACCGAACTACCAATCTCCTTCAAATCCGTCGCCGCCTCCGCAAATCTCGGCATTAACTCAGCACTCCTCGCACACCACGGCGCGTAACCTAAAACCATCACATACTCATTCCCATCAATCAACCGCTTCGTGTTGTCTCCATTGAGTTCCACCACGATCCTCTGCGCCTTGCTCACCGTCTCCGCTTCAGACTGTTGCTCTGGTCTCTCTTCCTGCAATTGTTCATCCACCGCTAAGAGCTGCTCCAGATCGTCTAATTCTTCCTCGGATCCGGATTCTTTACCTTCGACGGAGACATCAGAAGAACGGACCACGACGATTAAGAAACTGAGAAGTATGAGGAAGGTGAACAAGATTGAAAATTTAGAACTGGGTTTTGGTTTCATCAACATGATTGTTACTGGGTTTTCGCCGGATTTTGAAAAGTGGACGAAGAAGTGATGGCTCTGAAATGAAGAGAAAGATCGGAGAAGTTTTTATGAATGTAAATCTCACCATGATTTACGGCGGGAGCTTACTGGATCGTTAATGGAAATTTTGATTAAGATTAATTTCTTTTGCCGTAGCATTAATTAAACAAATCTTTGTTTTGAATATTGACTTTTTTTTTTTGCACACCAAAATATTGACTAGTACTAACTACTAAATATGAAGAAATAAATTGTTTTCCAAAAACAAAACAAAGAAATTGTTTTCTATATTTTAACATTTAAAACATTCACAATGGTCAGGTCAACCATTATTGAACTCTGGTGGATTTTTGCAACGATGAATTTTTAAACCACTAAACCACCCTAACATAGTTTGATTAATTATTTGTTCCAAAATCGCGTTATTACATGCAATGCGAGAAAAATATTCACCAAAATCGATATTAAACTACTACATAGTTGTGTGCTCTAGTTTTTTATTAAGCGGAAACTTAACTCAGTATTATAGCGGGTAAAGGTAATTTTGGAGGCAAACTAATTGGGGTTTTCCCCCCAAACAAAAAAAAAAGTCTCGATTCTCTAAGTCTTCAGACCAAAAAGACTCGATTCCATGAAATCAAAAACCCAAAAACAAAAAGCATTGAGAAATCGCAATACCCATTCCATGAAATCTCGATTCCCATTGACAAGATCTCGATTCTAAGCACCAAAATCTCCGACAGTCTCTGTGTCTCCGTCGCTATCTCCGTCGATCTCTGTCTCTCTTTCCGGTATCCATCGATCTGTCTCCGTCGCTCTCTGTCTCCGTCGCTCTCTGTGTCTCCGTAGCTCTCTTTCTCAGTTTCTCTCTGCCTCTGTCTCTTTCCGCCTCTGTCTCTGTCTCAATAGCTCAGTCGAGCTCAGTAGATTCGAATCTGAAAGGTATAAGGCATTCAATCTATGCATTTCAGTTCTTTACTATGTACTAGTACTCTGATTTTAATTTTGACCATTTTAAACATTGAAAGGTAATCACATCTCATCAGCTGGATCTTCTGCCTGCATCATCTGCCTGTTTGCATCTGAACACAGAGGCAAGTTCTCACAATGAAACTGAAATTTGATTCATTTGTTTGATTCATTTGTTTACGAGTTGAATGAATTGGCTGAATGTGAATATATTTGTTTGGTGTTTGTTTGGTGTTTGTTTGGTATTTGTTTGGTGTTTGTGTTATTCTTATGTGTTTGTTTTGTTTTCTTTATGGGTAAGGACATATAATGGTTATGGAAAAGAGATGGGTTCATCTTAACAGGTATGTAAGAACGTTTTGTATAGTTGAGTTTATTGGTTTAATTGATATGTTAAAGATTTTTTAAAGTTTGTAATTCGTTTTTTTCTTTTGGTTTTTTGCTTTTATGTTACTTCATTGCAGAACCGATCCTGGTTATGAGAAAGGTGCTTGGGATTTTGTGAGGTCTGTGGCTGCAGGTTTAGGAGACAATGCAATGATTGTTTGCCCGTGTATTGACTGTCGCAACGTATATCGCCACTCTGCCGCTAATGTTGTTGATCATCTTGTAACAAGGGGAATGGATTGGAGTTACAAGGCGAGTGAGGACTGGTTTCATCATGGAGAAGTGAAATCAGGGACTGAGTGTAGAAAGAATACA